GTTTTAAAAAAAGAAAATAATTGTTTAAAAGAAATTCATTAATTGGAAAAATTTAAACAGCAAAAAAAATTTCAAAACTGGGGAGGCATTTGGGTTTGGCCAAAAAATTGGCCCCAACCATTTTATAAAAAAAATTTTAATTTTTAAAATTTTTTCCCTAAAAATTTTTAAAATTTTTCTGTTTTTAAATAAAACCCCCAGTTAAAAAGAACCATAAAATGCAAAATTTTTAGGAAATATTGGGTAACAACTCTTTATTAAAGCCTTTAACCCTTTGGGGTTTTATAAAATTATTCCCGAATTTTTCCCGGGGTTTACCCATTTTGGGTTTATGAGGAAAGTTTATTTGCATTATTGTTTCTAAATACAGTTTTATTCCCCCCTTTAAACCCCCCAGTAAATTTGTAAAAAAAATGGATTTTTGGGGCCTTTAAAAGAATTGGGAGGGAGTCTTAAGTGTTTTATTTCCTGTACGTTTTCACGGCAAAGGCCTTGGAAATGTCAAGCAGGAAATTTTTTCAAATATTTTTCGAATATTTTGGGAAAAAGGTTGAAAAACCACCTTATGCAATGAACACGATTTTAATGTTTTTTAAATAGTGCCCAGAGTAAAGATTCATATAATACATGTAAAAATTATTTTTAAGAAAAAGTCAGTTAACGAGGTATTAATAATTTTTTTCTAAGCTTGAAAACTGAAAGTGATCTTTTTTAGAATGTTGTAGGAATTTTATTTTAAATTTGGAAAAATTGTTATTTTCATAATGTGAAATGGGGGCCTTTTATAATATTCCTACGGACTCTGGTATGGTGAAAAATTCCCTTGGCCAGTGTGTTTTTAATTTTAGGGGGATAGTGGATTTTTTAACATAAAATTTAAAAACTGACTTCAAAAATAGTATAGAGCCTAGTCAGATTTTTTGTTCAAATTTTTTTTTCGCTTAAAATGTTTCTGTTATCATATTCTAACAACATGCCAAGTTTAAAGAAATTCTATTGAACAGTTTTAATTTTGCCTATATGTCTATATTAAAACTCCCGAAAACGTCTTTAACAAGTTTCAGGACATGAGCTGCAGTTGGGTAGTTTGTTTGCCTGGCCAAAGTCTTCATTTTAAAGTGGGTTTTTTGGGGCCAAGCAGTCAATTGCAAACATATTCGTCAACTAAACCTGTGGAAAAGCATATTGTTGATATCTGTAAGACATAAAACCAGCATAATTAAAAAGAAAAAAACATCTTTTTTCACATGCCAAGGTTGTACGGAACTGACAAATGGTGGATCATGATTGAAGGCTGGTGCACATTGTGGAGACAGTACACAGTAAGGGACCATTAGAGACCTGAGTCTTGGTCAAGACGTCCGATGATAATGTCAAATCATCAACATACATACAACAGGAATTTGTTCATCTGAGTGATAATATACTCAGAACTTCAAGTGTGACAGACAAAATATTCCTGGCTATTTTCTAAGGGTGAGTCAAATTACATCTTAACAGCAGCAAGGATTGTTTTAGAGTGTACTGTCGTGTTGACGAACATTTTTCTAGGTTTACCTGGTCAAAGATTTCTTTTTAGCATAATCAGTGTTGATTTAAAAGGATAAAGGAAATTTCCACTGTTTTTTTTAAAGGGGTCCTTAAAATAATAAAAAAGGCCCATTTTAAATCTAAAAAAATTTTTAAAACTAGGGGGAAATCAATTATATATTTGTTGTAGGCTTTTCTTTTTTAAAGGAGAGCCCTATTTAAGGGATAAATTTTTTAAAGTTTTTTGTTTAATTGGGTATCTTGAATAGAAAAGGTGCCAAATTATACAGAAGATCAAATTTTATTTATACAAAAGTTACCAAATTACTATTAAGGAATGGAAATACTACATCAAGGTTTTTTTTTGGATGCACTACTTTTATAAAATGGCAGTCCTGGGACACAGAAAACCTGCTGCAGTGCATAAGGGAAAACTCTGGATTTCATACAAATTTTTTATCAAAATAGCAAAACATGGGTTTGAAAATTCTGAGGCAAAATAAGCGATAGAAATGGCTAAAATGTCTAATGGTACTAAGAGTGAGCTAGCCAAAAGTTCTAGCTGTACGTGAGTCACGTACGACTAGCAAGGACACACTGTATTGGCTACCCGTACGGCACTTTTCAAATTATATAGAAGTCGAAAAATGCATATGTTATTTCATGACTTTAAGCTAGGATTTTAACCAAGAAACAGCAAAATGTCTCCGTATGTTTACTTTTAAGAGATTATTCGCCTTGTTGGCTACAGTGAGACTGAGTAAAGAAAGTATGAATATCTATCTTTGTCATCTCAAGACATCGAGAAAAAATAGTGTTTGGTTGCAGTTAAATAACATCAATTGGAATAGTTTACAAAATTTTGATAATAATCCTTTTTTGTTTCATTAAGTTTAATTTTTGAATTGAAAAAACAAAACAAAAAAAAAACACTGAAAATAATTGTTGTTAGGCTCTGATAATTGCGTCAATTACCCACGGTATAGAAGTTTGTCCATCATTAAGGAATGTTTGCATGTTCTGTGAAACACATTCTAATATTCTATTGCCAGTCCCTGGGTAGGCTTTAATTGAGGCTAATTAATTGATTGTGCTTTTATGTTCGATATTTATCTATATTTGAAAATTATTAAATTATTTTTGATTTCACCGTTTTTTTGTGTTTTTTTTCCAATATTCTTTTTTATTTATTTATTTATTCCCCTTCAATCATTATTTATTCGATCCATGTGCTTTAAATTAACAAAAATGATTTAACAATTCATCTTATATACAAATAAAACAACAAATCATAAGCATGAAAATCAAGGATGTTATAACTTATAACATGCATCATTGACACTTATATCAAGATAGATTATACAACGCTTGTTCCGCCATAGTGTAGTCAGGTACGGTTTGTCAGCGTACGGTATGGTACGGACATATACAGAACATTATTGTGAAAGAGTTGTTCCCCTTCGTATTACATGTACGCCATTTGTTGCCGATTCTTTAGGCAATATTAATAAACTACAAAACTCATATATTTGTGTGTTTCTATACCGTTAAACCTTACTGGCGTGGTGGCAGCAGGAAAAGGACTCACTCTCAATCTGCAACCCAGTAATTTGCGGACACTGTTGTGGACATTTCACGTCAAAATAAGTGCAAAAAAAACCGGATAGTTCTACTCTACTGCGTAGTGACAAAACACATAAACATTTACAATAATGGCTCAAGTACGTGCACCCAAGCAATGGTGTTTGACCAAACAAGAAACTATTACATCGTTCGAGTCTTGGAGACAAAATTTACAATATACTTTGTCCCTGGATCCCAATTTTGCACCGTTCCTAGTTGAGGGATTTCAGTGGGAGCGAAAAACAAACACAAACCCAGAACGCGGATTTACTGATGATGGCGAATCAGTTCCTGAGGCAAAGAGGCGCACAGCTGCACAAAAAGTGATTTATCTAGAACTCATGTTAGGGCAAATTGCAAACTTCTGCCCAATAATTTCTCGTAACACTATCGTGAAAAATGCAACGTCAATAAAAACTATTTGGCAGACAATTCGTTTACATTTCGGATTCCAGTCAACAGGAGCACATTTTCTGGATTTTGACAGTATACAACTTCAACCAGGAGAGAGACCAGAGGATTTATACCAGCGTTTATCAAGTTTTATCGAAGATAACACATTAAAGAAAGATGGTGGCCTATCTCATATGGGAACTGTACCAGATGAAGACGAAGAGATTACCCCAACAGTCGAAAACTTGGTTGTATTAACATGGTTGAGATTAATAGACAATCGTTTGCCGGCACTAGTAAAACAGCGCTACGGAACAGAACTTCGTTCAAGGACTTTAGCCACACTTAAGCCTGAAATTTCTCTCGCTTTAGACAGTTTGCTAGACGAAATACATGCCGTAGCTGATGCAAAAGTCATGCGTTCTGCTTTTAAAGGTTCTAAAGACAACGGAAAATTTCGATCAATCTCTCGTGCCACCCCTTCGTGTCCCTTATGTAAACAAGCTGGCCGAAGATCATTCAATCATTTTCTCAGCAAATGCAAATTCTTACCTGAGGAAGACAAGCGTTATCTTTCAAGTGTTCGTCAAACTGTCTCGGACGAAACTGCGGGGGATCCGGAAATCGATCAAGAGTCTTACGAAGATGACAATCAGCAATCTCAATGCTATGGTATACATTCGGCTACTTCTAGACGTGTAAGCACCAAACAGTCTCCAACATTAAAAACATTTTATAAACATTTTCCTCTGAATGTTACCCTAGATACTGGAGCAGAAATCAACATGTTGAAATTGTCTGTTGCACACTATATGGGAGTACCTATTAAGAAAAGCAATCAACGTGCACTCCAGGCAGATGGTTCCACCCCATTAAAGGTGGCTGGCGAGACACATATAGTTCTTACTCGTGGCGAACAGAGTTTAACTGTTGAGGCATTAGTGGTTGAAAACTTGGATGTGGATTTACTTGGTGGAATACCTTTCATGGCAACAAATGACATTATGGTTAGACCTGCAAAGCAACAAATTGTTATTCATGGTTCTGATACAGTGTTTTATGCACCAGAGGTACCTGACTCGGTTTCTCACAGTGTTCGAAGGACCCAAGCTTTTGTCCTTAGGTCAAGTTCCAATATGTCTTCAATTACATGGCCGGGATCTTACCTGGAGGTCACTTTGCCAGACAACATTGATCCCGATGGCACACTTGCCATAGAGCCCAAGTTCGGAGCATCCAGTAACAAACAATGGCCACTTCCACAAGTTATTGAAGCAGTGTCTGGTAAAGTAAGACTACTGAATTCAACGACCAATCCCATCCATGTGCATAAAAATGAACATGTTTGTTAAGCTCGCCACACTGTTGACTCTTATGATACAAAAGCTCAAGACTTTCAAGACACACCCCTGGTTCGTACTTGTCATGCCAAGATGACTACCAATAATCATTTCTCTGATACCGTATCAGTTGACCCAGATGCTATACTACCTGAAAATACTCGCCAGTGTTTCCAGAACATCTTAGAGCAATATGATAGTGTATTTGATAAAGACTCTGTCTGGATATAATGGTTTTTCTGGGCCATTCAAAGCAGTTGTTAACATGGGCCCTGTTCAACCACCTCAGCGTAAAGGACGCCTACCTCAATATGCAAGAGATAAGTTAGTTGAGCTACAAGAACACTTCGATGATTTAGAACAGCAAGGAGTGTTTTCGCGCCCAGAAGATATCCCAATTACAGTTGAATACTTAAACCCTTCTTTCTTGGTAAAAAAAAGGTCAGGGAGGTTTTCGGTTGGTCACAGCGTTTGCTGATGTTGGTCGTTATGCTAAACCTCAGCCTTCACTCATGCCAGACGTAGACACTATACTTCGTACAATAGGTCAATGGACATACATAATAGTAACTGACCTAACAAGCGCATTCTACCAAATTCCTTTGTTGAAGGAGTCCATGAAGTATTGCGGAGTAGCGACACCTTACAAAGGCATACGCGTTTATACAAGATGTGCCATGGGTATGCCAGGCTCAGAAACAGCATTGGAAGAACTCATGTGTCGTGTGCTAGGTGATTTATTGCAAGAAGGTGTTGTGGCGAAACTTGCAGATGATTTGTACATCGGTGGAAACACTACAGACGAACTCCTTGCCAATTGGACCCGTGTATTAGATGCTTTACAGAAAAACAACTTGAAACTGAAGCCCACAAAAACCATCATATGTCCAAGATCCACTACGATCCTTGGATGGATATGGTCCCAAGGAAAATTTTCAGCAAGCCCCCATCGTATAGCTTCTCTTTCGGCTTGTCCACCCCCTCAAACTGTCCATGGGTTACGATCATACATTGGCGCTTACAAGGTGTTGGGTCGTGTTCTACCTGGTTGTTCGCAATTGATAGCTCCACTCGACAACATTACAGCTGGTGGAACTCTTCAGACAAAATCGTTTGGGATGAAGCCTCACTTAAACATTTTCAAAACACTCAGTCAGCACTAAATTCAAATAAGTCAATTGTCCTTCCTAGACCTACAGACCAACTTTGGATAGTCACTGATGGGTCAGTCAAGAAACGTGGCATTGGCGCTACATTATACGTTACGCGGCATGGCAAGCTGTTACTCGCTGGATTCTTCAGTGCCAAGTTACGAAAACACCAGGTCACTTGGTTACCTTGTGAGATAGAGGCTCTTGGCATTGCAGCCGCAGTCAAGCACTTCAGTCCATACATTATACAGTCCAGTCAGCAGACGTGTGTGCTAACAGACAGTAAACCGTGTGTTCAAGCAATTGATAAGTTATGTAGAGGCGAGTTTTCTGCTAGTCCAAGAGTGACATCCTTTCTTTCTGTTGTTAGCCGATATCAAGTACATGTTAAACATCTTGCTGGTTCTGCCAATGTCCCATCTGATTTTGCCAGCCGCAACGCACCAGAATGTGAAAACCCCACTTGCCAAATATGTACATTTATTCATATCACTGAGGATTCTGTAGTTAGAGCGATTAACATAGAGGATGTACTTAACAGTAAGAGCCGCTTACCATTCACATCCAGATCAGCTTGGAAAGATATTCAGTCAGAGTGCCAAGACCTTAGACGCGTTCATTCACATTTATTACAAGGCACTAGGCCTTCAAAGAAACTAACAAATGTTAAAGATGTCAAACGTTACCTCAACTCTGTATCTATTGCCAAGGATGGTATACTTGTCGTAAAACATACTGATCCTCTTGTGTCTTCGGTTGACCTAATTGTCGTACCCAGATCTGCCATTGATGGTCTTATCACCGCCTTGCATATCAAACTTGACCATCCATCAAAACATCAAATACTACAGGTTTTGAAGAGACATTTTTATGCCTTGGACATGAGCCAAGCAGTTGAAAGAGTAACTGACATGTGTCATAGCTGCGCGTCTTTACGTAAACTACCAACAGGGTTTTGTACTCAATCCTCAGAAGACCCTCCTGAGGTAGTAGGAATGAGTTTCGCTGCAGACGTCATGAAACGTACGTAATAAACAGTTAGTACTTGTGTTAAGAGAAACATCAACTTCATACACTGTTGCCTCCATTGTAGAAAATGAAAGAAGAGATACTATAAGAGATTCCTTAGTATGCCTGTGCACTGAGTTACATCCAATTCATGGACCTCCTGCTGTCATTCGAGTTGACGCTGCTCCATGTTTTACATCTTTGAGAGATGACGCCATACTCCGTCGTCTGAATATAACCTTAGATATTGGTCGCGTGAAAAATGTTTAACAAAAACCCTGTAGGAGAAAAAGCAATTCAAGAGCTTGAAGATGAGATCATACGTATTGAGCCAGATGGCGGTTCGCTTTCTAAAGTTCAACTGGCGATTGCTGTCGCGAAACTGAATTGTCGCATCCGTCGTGAAGGATTATCAGCTAGAGAGTTGTGGACGCAAAGAAATCAGTTTACTCATGAACAACTTCCTATTTCGGACAGAAATGTTATTTCTCAACAGTATCAGGCACGTTTAGAAAATCACAGTGCAAGTGAAAAGTCCAAAAGCTCTAAGTCATCTGTGAAAGCCTCTCATGTTAGTGTAGGAGATATAGTTTACTTATATTCTGACAAGATTAAATTACATTCCAGGCAAAGATACCTTGTAGTGTCAAAAGAAGATGATTGGTTTTACATAAAGAAGTTCATCGGTAACCAGTTACGCGCTTCCTCGTATAAAGTGAAACAAAACGAATGTTTCCGCGTTCCCACAGAAATACAAAATTTTAATCTTTCTAAGTGCAAATTCCAGCAAGACAATGATAGCGACGATATAGACAGTGACATTTCTGTTCCGCAGGACAACGTTCATATTCCGCCTTCATTAACTGCACCACTAGGAGCTACAGAAATGCCTGAAGTTCAGAGTCCTCCGAGTGTTAGTGGAGAAATGGACACACATGAACATGACACTGAAACATCTCTTAGTCTTACTGACAGTACTAACTCTAGTTTAAGTTATACCAATGAGGGGACTGAATTACATTCAGAAAGACCGCAGAGGCTCCGCAAGCAACCTAAATACCTTGATGATTACATTACATAGACACATACATAATTAATAAGTTACCATTTTAATAACTGTTTATATCATTGTTTTGTTAAACGTTTATGGATTTGATTATTAAGAGTGTCTCAATTATTAGACTATATTTCATCACTTAGTTTATCTTAAAAGGATATGTATACGTTAATAAGTTAAATTTCAAAAAGAAAGAAAGGTAGCGCCATAGTGTAGTCAGGTACGGTTTGTCAGCGTACGGTATGGTACGGACATATACAGAACATTATTGTGAAAGAGTTGTTCCCCTTCGTATTACATGTACGCCATTTGTTGCCGATTCTTTAGGCAATATTAATAAACTACAAAACTCATATATTTGTGTGTTTCTATACCGTTAAACCTTACTGGCGTTCGTATTCATTTTTGTAACAAAATGGGGGAGCATCTTTATTAAAGTGAACACACTAGGACAAATGTGGAGACTTGATTAAAATCCTATTTAAAGACAAAAAATTACATATGCATTTTCGACTTCCATATAATTTTGAAAAGTGCGTTACGGCTAGCCAATACAGTGTGTCCTAGCTAGTCATACGTGACTCACGGGCCCGTACGGCTAGCCACTTCCATGATTTATAACAGTCACCTTGCATACATGTCACTGGTTTTTACTGGGTCGAAATGACTTAGGGCCGGTTGATATAACATTTTTTTAATCTGACGGTTCCAAACGTAATATGAAAACAGATGATGTAGATATGCCAGCGTAAATTAAAAAGACTGTTGATTATGAATCCAAACACCTATTTTTTCTGTTTACCTGCATCTAATCGTTTTAATCGAAGCCAGATTTTTTTCTTTCCAATGTCGGCCATATTTGTTTACTTTCAGTAGGCTAGAAGCTACTAAATAAATATAGAAATGTTTATGAAGCTATTTTGTGTTCCTTATTTATATTTTCAAACCTTTATATTGGTTTATGTGTCAATAGTTTTCTTCAATGTGTATATAAAAATGGGCGGAAATCAGTTATTTCTGAGTATAAAATGAAATATATTTATAGATATTTAGTCTTCCACAACCCTTGTTCATATTTCACAAACTATCATTATTACGAATTCACTTTACGTCACGAGCACCTGCTTTATTGTTGGTAACAAATATGGCGGCGGAAGACGATTCCGATATTCCTGGTGAAACTTTATTCAGTTTATGCAATGTCTTTCCTTATGAACACGATTTAACCGTCTCTGCGTCAAAAGAATATGAACAAATTTCATTAATAATATCAGTCATTACATTTTGATGTCAAACCAGTTTGCATTTGCAACGAAATGATAAGTGGACCATTTTTTTCATGTCTAAACTTCTCTCTTTTTTGGAGTTGGTCACTTTTACAAACGCTTTCATAACCTGTTTACCTTGTTGCATCTGTAGTTTTCTGTATCCATTGTAATTATGATCGGGTTCTTCATCCAGGGGTTTGAAAATTGAAAATTCGAGTCTTTTTTTTAAGGGATAGGAGGCTGTGCATGAATTGAGTTGAAAAAGATACACCTTTTAAATCAGTCATAATATTAAATATGTTATCAGTTTTTTGTTATTAAAGTTTTTGTATAGTACTCTTTGCCAGTACCACATCCTGCAGATATTGCAGTTTCCAAACTAGTCCAACTAATTGTACTGCGCGACGAGATATTGTGTTATTTTCGTGTCTGGGCAATATCTCGCCTCTAAAGCGAGATTCTGCCCCAGAACGAAAATATCTCAGAATCAAGCTTTGGCACGTCAACATATTTTGACTATTTCCAAACATGTCAACTCATTGAGCTTCGGTCTATAAACATTGCAAATTGGCTTAAAAGTTTTTGCCTTTAGTTATAGACTTAAAGATGGAAATATCTGTGCACTTTTAAGTGTCAGTACTAGTAAAAAGTGTTATTAAGTCCCTTTTCATTCTAACAGATTTACGGTAATACTAAGTACCACTGTAGTACTTAACTTTACCCAAAAGCACTACCCTGGATGCAAATTTCCTCAGACATCCAAAATCGAAATTTGTATTAGTATTAGTACTATTACTGTATGTACAAGGTGTAGGGGCTGTAATGAAGGTGCTTAATCTTAAAAGGCAGAAAAAAGATTGCTAAAAACACCATATTACCCTTACATGATTTGTGCCCAAACTGAAATTAATACACATCTTAGTTTTATTTGATAGTCTCTTGTACATCACATCATCAGTTATACACCGATCATTTATGATACCATGCATAACTACCCACTTTGTGGATTATGCGGAATAACAAAAACTTTGCATTGAAATCAGGAAATCTGAAGTACTTTTTCATTCAAACAGTCAGATTGTTAAGTCTATACCAAAGACCTACCATACCTGTTAGACATCCTAACTTTCCTTGGAATCTGTATATGGCAATAAGTGCTTTTAACAAAGTAATAAATAAGCTTTTTACAAAGTAATGATAATAGTATAAAATATGTTATTATTGTAATGATATTATTTTATTTCTTGTTAAAGGTTACAAATGACAGGTGCATTGTGATTAAAATAGTATTACTTGATAAAAGTGTTTATTTATTAAAAATAATTTTTTTTTTTTATTTATTTTGTAGATTCTGGAGCTGTCTTTACATTTGGCAAAAGCAAGTTTGCTGACAATTTGCCGAACAAGTTCTGGGTTAGGAATGACCGTGTACGTGATGTGGCATGTGGAGATGAACACACAGCATTGGTTGCAGGTATACAAATATAGACAGTATGAATTATATCTACCCTGACAGTCTTTATGTAAAGATACTGACCTACTTGTATACAAATTATCAGTGGGATTGATCAGAAGTAACTGTTCAGTCTGTGCAAAAGTGCAAGGATAGGAGTGAAACATTGATACTACATTTGTGCAGATTCAACGGGATATACCCTGTGCATCATCTGAAATGTTACAAATGGACTGTGCAGCATTAAGAATATTGAAACTACTAATGCTTCATTTCATATATATTACTTTTGACAGATCGCAGTGGTTAGTTGAAGTAATACCTAAATATGCATTTTTACCATACCCATTACTGCATTATATAATAGAAAGAAGGTGAGTGTACTAATATATATTTCAGAGACTGGGAGAGTATTCACATTTGGTTCCAATGATTGGGGTCAACTTGGTCTGGGAACCAGTAAAACAGCTGATAGGCCAAGCTGTATCAAATGTAAGTTGCTTTTAATTTTAATTTCCTTAACAAGAAATTTAGAATCTGTTTGAACTTTGAAGTCTATCTTTATAAAAAAACTGCAGACAGTAAACTGTTCTTTAAATTTGACTAAGAAGCATACTATTCTGCATACTATTCTTTTTTTTTTTCTTTTTTTTTGACTTGACTTGTAAGCTGATAATTTAGCAGCAATATTACCAGTATTTGTATTTTATGGCATTACCATTTATTAAACATATAGGTTCTGCGACCATAATTTACATATTGAGCCACAAATGACATTGAAACTGATATATTCTAGTTATAGCACATTTTTTTGTCCTAATTGTTTTGGTGAGGTATATAGATTTGCCCTTGTCAGTGTCACTGTGTCATGATATCTATCTGTATACTTACAATACAGTGGAATGTGGGGGCATCCATGTCCTATGATGTCCAATGAACATACATTGTATGTCTAGTTTAATGTTTATTTCGTAATATTTTAAATGACTAATGCTTGTATTTTAAAGCATTAAAGACAGAGAAAGTGAAGCTTGTAGCATGTGGAAGAGTTCATACAATTGTTGCAACAGGTAAGTTGTAATTCTTAACATTTCTAAGCAGTATCTTTAGTCTTTATAAGTTTACATTTAACTACTTCATTTTCTGTTTTAAACTATTTTAGTGCCATAATTTTACTATGGTATCATTATTTTGATATTATCTTTTTATATTTACAAAATATGTTTTTAAAGAAAGTAAAATTTCTCTTATAATTTTTATTGTGATTTTCATCAGCTATCATTATTGAAGTATGTGTACAGATACTTCAGTGCATATCTGGAAATAATCACTATAGTTTGACAAGAGCTACAAATATCCCCTTGTTTTTTAGATAGAATGAGAATATTATACTGTATCAGCTATGACTTTATAATCTTTAGTGAAGATGAAGTTTGGCATCAGTGTTGTGAAGTTTAAACACTAGCTTATTTTTAGCGTGCTATTCAACTTATTGTACTCAGTCTTGGGCCAGTGTCACCATCACACTTTTGGGAAGATTTGCGTGCAAATTAATTTGTATCTGAGTATTCTGAAAAACAACTAAATTGGTGGGGTAGAAATTTACTCACTTGTTCTCTATGATTATCTTCCATGATGGGAACAGGTCCCGTAACTCTGAGTTACCTTTTTACAGAGTTATGCCTCTTTACTTACAGTCAACCCTTTGTCTTACAAACAGTTGTTGTTTATATAAGTACTTTCATATTCATCGAAGAAAATATATTGTTTACAGAATCAGGGAAGCTCTATTCATTTGGTGCCAATGGCGAGGGTCAGCTGGGTGTAGAAGATTCTCCAGCTAGCAATGTTCCTAAATGTATTGACAGTCTAGTAGAGCAACAGTACAGAATGTTAGCAGCAGGGGCAGATCACTCTGTAGCTCTCACAGGTGGGCAGCCATTTAAGTTGGTTTTCTATTCGTCCATTTAAGTTACATTATGCTCATTTTTTTCATTGTCAAGTTGAGCTGAATTAACTATATGTTTCATATGTTTTTATGATGGTGATTGACCAACAGTTGCTATTGGCAAATGTTTAGTATTAAATATAAGACAGCCTAAAATATAAAAGGACTGCCCCACTCTTTTTATAAATTGAATGTTACAGGTAAATTCTGAAAGAAATTTACAGAAATTTCCTTGGGTCAAGTGAGTTATGCAAAGTAAATTATAAAATTGAAAGGAACTATGGCAAAATGTATACATATTTTGACCTTCACCTGTTCACTCGCTATATACCCCTGGATTGGCATAATTTCACCAATGACCATAATGCAAGTTTTGTTTCTACACACTTTATAATGCATAAGGGTGTACTACAAATAGTGTTACTTGGGACATCTTCTCACAAGCAATCCGGCTGCTCCAAGGGGCTGGGTTTTAGCTTGAAGGTTTCAGGCATCTTGAAAATATCTGTTTAGATAAAAGTTTTTGGTTCAACAGCATCAACTAAAGAAATTTGATTGTTCAAATTTGAGTCAATAGATATCATTGAGTCATCTTGTTATTTGGCAGCATATTTCTTAAAATACATTTTTGATAAGGTTATTTATTCAATTAATGTAGATTAAACATGATTTAGGAATGATCACTCACCTTTTAGTCATATTTTGTAGAGGATGGTGCAGTATTTGTGTGGGGTGGGGGAAGTGAAGGACAACTTGGTCTAGGGGGTAAGACAGAATGTCCAGACCCAGAAGAATTGCAAATAGAAGATGTGGTCACTTGTATATCATGTGGTTATTATCATACAGCACTTGTCACTGGTAAGTCATTATATCCTACTTTAATTTGGGTGTTTCTTAAAACTATTGGCAGGGTTTTCATTATTAACATATTGGCGATCCATATCATCAGTTGAAATGCTGTTAAAATCGGTTGTGATTTCAGTCTTTAGACTAAAATATCCCTCTTGACCATTGTCCAAAATAGTTGTTTTTGCTGGCACATCTGTTGCCTGAAATAAAATTGAAAACCCTGCATTGGTACATGTTTTTACGCCTTTGCCTGAAGTTCACCTTAAAGCACTCTTCTTCTATATAAAACCAATTAGATTAATGCTGGATTAGGAATTTCTGGCTTTCTGACATTTTTAACTTGTACCCATGCTTTAAACAGATATTTAGCATTAATCATTAATTGTTTCTGTCAAATAAATAAGGTACTAAATCTGCCTATCATATGTCTTATGTATCATTATTGCACATGATCAATATATTTCACTTCTGATATTTTTAAGATCAATGAAGTGACTTGCCCTTGACATTGTATCATACTTTGTATTATAATTATTAATATAGGAAATATCATTTTATATATTGTTTATTATAGAATCAGGAGATTTATACACATTTGGTGAGAGTGAGGGTGGTAAACTAGGGTTGGGTGATGACCCTGATGAAACAGATACTCCACAAAAGGTTGATATACCTGAAAAAGTCATATCAGTGGCATGTGGTGGGTCACATACTTTAGCTGTCACAGGTAATATTAAATACACATAAGTTTAAGTTTGTTATGTAGACATTTTTCATTAGCTTGGTTTTGTGAGTGATATAAGTGGTTATAAAGTGGAAAGTGAACAATTTTTATTCACTGAAGAAGACATGTAATGTTATGATACGTCATATGATTTGTTTACTATTTTGTCTAATGTGATGTCACAAGGTGACAATCCATAATGTTGAAGCGTTACAGTGTAAGTAAATATTCATACAGCAGACAACATCTGACAAAATCACATTTAGTTGGATCTTAATACATGTATGTGGATGGACATATCCCTTAAAATGCTCCATGAATGGTAATAATGATTTTGCAGTTGTTATTCTGATTGAAATGTTTTATCCTCTATATTGATATGTTTGATATAATAAAATAAATGATACAGGCCAGCCTCAGTTTGACCAGGCAATATATTTAAGATTTGTACCTTATTTAATTTGTAACTTTCATTAATAAGTAAGTATAGGTAATCTTTGACACAGGTTACACATTTATGTAATTTCAGAAAGTGGCAATGTCTACACATTTGGAGATGGTGCAAGTGGCCAGCTAGGTCATGGAACACATTTTTTACAAATATCTACGCCAAGAAAACTTAATATTAATTTTAAAGTGAAATATGCATCATGTGGTGAAAGCCATTCTTCTCTTATATCAGGTAAGTTGTATTATTGTCTATGTCTTAATAGTGTCACTGGTCAATTTATTTGTTATGTTCAATGTTCACAATGCCATGTGCTGTTTGTCAATAAGGTGCGGGGGAACTTATACTTGTTCCTTAACATACGCTTATTAGCAGAAATTCAAGGATACATTCGGGACAATTCAAATCTGTTTGTATCTCTTGCAATTTTGTGAACTGTTTCTTTATGTCCAGTTGTGTTGTATGTTTTAATAAAGGTATTTTAGAAGAAGTTTTACATTGGTTTTTAACATTTCCTTAGTTTTAGTGTTTTTCTTTTCTTTTTGCATCAAACAATCTAAAGATATGTACTGCCAGAACTTTTATTGAAGAATAACAATGTGTTTGTCTGGATACCTTTTACGAAGTAAAGGAAACACTTAAACAGACTTGTGCTAATTTTTCACATCATGTATATGAAATATTGTCACCTGAGTGCAGTATCGGGTTAAGTCTTTCTAAATTTAATAGGAGTTAACCAGTTATTGCACAAAGGTGATGATATATAAAATGAACCAAACAGAGACAAAATAATTTTTATTCCAACTTAAAACCAAAGATTTCTTAACTCATTTTCATATTCAATAACCCTCAGGTTTACCTGTCTTGTTAGCAGATAGTCTAAATAATACTATGAGATGGATAGATATGAAATGATTTTTTTTTTTTTAGATTTTCCAACTTTTATCATTAATGTGAAGGTAAAATATGTTAAGTATGAAATAAGATTGATGATGTTTATATCTATATTGCAGATAAAGGTCAGTTATACACATTTGGAGATGGAAGACATGGGAAGTTAGCGTTAGGACAAGAAAGTTTTTCTAATCAATTTATACCACTAAGAGTAAAAAGATTTTCAAAATTTACTGTACAAAAAGTAAGTACTAAAGTTCTTTAGTACTATCTTTGATTCTTATTATTATTTTACTGCAGTCACTGTTTGATGCAATATATTGTAACCTTTTGCATTGCTAGATATCATAGATATCATTTCATTTCTTATACTTATCATTCATTGTTTTATCCTTAATTATTTAGCAACTAAATCCAGTTCTGCACAAAATTACAAGATATTTTTAGCAAACTACACTGTACTTTAAATATGTTGTAATATGCTAGATATGTACTTGTGTAATAATTACTGCCCTTGTATATAGCGTCAGTGATTTATATATTTTGTTTCTATGCACAGGTTATGTGTGGAGGATGTCACATGATATGTTTAGCCAAACCAAATAGAGAGGATGATAACCAGTTTAGTTCTGATGATGAGTTGATAGGGGAACCAAAGTTAAATGGAATGCTCAATCATAGTCTACGAGCTGATGGTTCTATAGACCTTAACAACAGTGTTACAGCAAGAGATAGGCGGAGAAAAACCAACGAATCTGTAAGTGTAACATAATGTTTCTCTTGTGTTGTCTAATGCTTCCATTGTTTACCCTTCATGTTTCACTTAGGAGGCTTATGTTCTATAGTTCAGACTTTTGTTCATGAAAATTTTTGTTATTTCGGAATATTCAGATTTGTCTGATTTGCGTTTTTTTCTAATTGTGCTTTAAACATAGATTTTAGAATTAAATGAGTCTTATAAGAAATTTGGGGAAATATAAATGTATAAATGAAATAATCTTGTTTTAAGTTTATTCAATCTTTTTCATTTTAGTTGTACATACACATAGTTTTAATTCTCTTTGTTTAAGTTATTGTGATTCTATCTCTGTTAAAGTTTTAATTCTCTTTGTTTAAGTTGTTGTGATTCTATCTCTGTTAAAGTTTTAATTCTCTTTGTTTAAGTTGTTGTGATTCTATCTCTGTTAAAGTTTTAATTCTCTTTGTTTAAGTTGTTGTGATTCTATCTCTGTTAAAGTTTTAATTCTCTTTGTTTAAGTTATTGTGATTCTATCTCTGTTAAAGATATTGTTTACAGAAGTGCTGTGGTTCTTCTTGGGAGTAAACTGCCTGAAATTATGCAGAAATGAGTATCTGCCTAAACTAGTAATACTAGAAAGTCGCTATTTTTATTATTTATTGTGTACCATTGTCTAGCATATGTACCATTTATGCAAGTACATTTATGCAGGTACAAGTAAACTATGTGAACTTCATGTCGGCCTTTTACAAAATGACTGACATTCAAGTATTATGTGCTCCATGTTTTTTTCATGTACTTAAAAAGATACTAAAAATTTCCATTACAGTTTAAAAATGATTTAAACCGTACCTTGCCACCCCTGGCTGGTGCTCACAAGGTACCATCAGAACATTTACACCAGACCGTCCCAGCACCAAAGTCACGCAGAATAGAGTCAGCTCCTTTACAAAAACAACCAGGTAAAATATAGTTAACTTATCTTACAAGAAAAACTGTCATATTTTGCAGATGTGTTTAAGTTTATAATGACTATTTTTTAATGTTTATGTGAAAAAGTTTCTCTAAGTTGATTTCCATGAATGAATAAGGAAAGAAGTTTTTTTTCTTCTTTTTTTTTAAGAATGAATTATATATTTCTAAATTTTTAATGAAATTTCACCATAAGTTCCACTCTGATATTAGCTTATGTTTGGTTCCCAAAATATTCTATCTAAAAATATGTCAAAAACTGTTAATGAAGTATCAAAAGGTCTGATATAATATTATTGATGTTCTCATTTAAGATTCACCTCGGTCAGAAGAAGAAGTCCATGAAGAAATTGTTAAAGTGAGTATCTATATTACATTCTTCACAAATGAAAAAGATAACATCACTTAAATGTTTTGCTGGCTCAGTGGTTACTTTAACATAACTAATTGATCAGCAAACAACTGAGAGAAAAAAGTTTTCTTTTGAGGAAGCAGAAAATTTATCGTGAAATTATTAATATCCTAGAGCAAGTGTTGTTTGAAGAAAACATCCAGCTATTATGATGGCTGCAAGGTTGTAGTGCAAAAACTTTAATGTTGTTTTTTTATTCAAACATTTTAAAAGGTATCAAAATGAATCTTAGAATGCTTGCTTATCATGACAAGCTACAGTTGTAAGACAAGGGGAATTATTCTTAAAACAATATTTTTAGGAGTTATGTCCCTTTTTAACTGAATATTTGACCATATAACAGACAAGAGTTAACACCACATGTGGTGGTCCATAGTTATTATTTTAAAATCTGTTGATAACAATCATGTTTAAGATAAAACTTATTGTAATTCATTTTTTTTTAAGGCTGAAAGTCGTGAAGCAGAATCTTCCGTACATGCTCTTCCACGTCCATTACCAAGACGACATGCTGGAATGGTAAATATTTCATAATTATATAATCTTATCTACTGAATGTAAAAAGTTATTAATAGTGTTGTAATGAAAATTATGGTAGAAAAATATATAATACACAATTTTTGTTTAATCCTCAAATAAGAAATTTAAGAGAGTGGCCAAATGACATTTTAATGTACAATGTCATTGTAATTTATGACATCTGTACTGGTAACAATTATTGTTAAATGTTTAATTAAATAGATATTACTGATGTTCAGTAATACGGAAATACATAAGTGTTCGAAGGATTCTAGAAAATAGGTGACATTTTTGCTGTCCGATTTCTCAGATGAACAGTGGTTAGTTATAAAACCAGTCATGATAACTTATTTATGTTTGTTTTTCTCTGTAAAGATAAAAAAGACAACCAATTGTATACATAGTTATAGAACTTTTCAAGTCTTTCTTATAAATTCATTATACTGTACAATAGCATCTGGAAATTTGTAGCATGCATATGAAAATAATACAAACATGATCATCCAGTAAATATTATAAGGATTTCAAAACAATTATGGATAAAATATTAAACATAATTTTGCTAACACAACCTTGAATAAACTTTGTTTCACTTTCTGTTAGCCTGAAGCTAAATCAGAAGAAGATGAAAGTGAGGAAGAAGAGGAGAGTGAAGAAGAAGTTAAAGATATGTCACAATCTACACGGGTAAGTTGTATACCTCGTCTTTCATACATTTTGCCCTATGTTTATTTACATATACAAGTCAGAGTTTTATGTTTGATTGAAGTGGTTAAAGACAACATGGCAAGAGCCATTTGTACACCACTGCTTATTCTACTGATATTGATAAAAATTCAAAATAATGTTGCATAAGCATTTTTACAAAATCAAACTAAACTCTATGAAGATGCTAGTGATATTCTTTACCAGGAAAACAAAATTTGTGTTAAGCCATATAAGATCTAATTGATAATTTACCACTTATATTCAATTTTATTGATATTGTTCAATTTATTTATTTCAGTTTTATTGTGGTTTTGAAAGAAAATATTTGAACTTTTGATTGATTCATTTGATGACTAATTGAAATATATACCTATAGAAGTGTGTCACAGCCATGCTGTTATAGATATTTGAACATTGAACTGTGACCATTGACTATTACAGGCCTTGCCTCAAGCTCCAATGCCACAACCGAGAGCGCTGCCAAAGTTAGGTGATACCGCAGAGTCTGATGAAGATGCTGATGAAGAAGATGAACATGAAGATAAATCTAAGAAAACCAAAGAAAAGAAACAAAAGAAAAGTATGATTATCAAAAAGATTTCTTTTTTTCTTTCAATATTTCCCTCTGTGTGAATAGAAGTCAAATTTCATTTTACAGAGTTGTTTTAATGGTTGAATGTTTTTCATTTTTCAATTCAGGTTGTATTCAAAGTTTGTATGTCTAAATGTTAACAGTATGTTTATAAAACAGTTGAAATAACAAAATTATGAATACTGAAAGACCAATAAAATTGGTTGAAATAAATTTTTAAGTTTAGAAGGCAAATATATCAGATAGAGTTTCTAATGGTATCAAAATATATTTAAATTTCATAAATTTATGCTAAAAACTAAAAAGATGATGTTTTTTATTTGAAATAATTGAATAAAATGTAATGTCAACTGTCTATAATTTTTTCTGAAAAAATATTTTTATTATATTTTATAAGATGACATTTGTTAGCCTAGGCAATGTAAATAAGCAATCAAAAGATACAATGTTGGTAGTTACAATAAATATGTGGTATATGTAATCTTTATTTTCAGAGAAAAAAGACAAAAAGGGAGCTATGGGGATATTTGGCAGGAAAAAGACAGGAATATCAGATGATGATGATGAAGAAGAAGATGAGGAGGAAGAAGAAGATGAAGAGAAGGAAGAAAAAGCAGAAAAGAAGGAAAAAGAAGAAAAATCTGAAAAGGAAGATGATGAAGAAGAAGAAACAAAAGGTATGACTTTAAATTGGTTTCTTCTTCTTATTCATAATATTAAAAGCAGCACTCCTTTAGATGAACAAAAAGTTAAACTAAAGAAAACAAAAAATGAGATTAGAAGTGTAACAAATATTGAAGTTGAACTATTTATAATCTATATAATATTGTACATGAAACATACAAACTTGGGCTGAAATGAATAATTTTCTCACCATATTTCTACCCATTGTCCTTACAAAGTAAAGTTTAATTTTTCTGATTTTGACTCATTTTAGTTTATTTGGAACTTATCTTAGTTAGAATGTATAGGAAGCTATAAGCTAATAGACACACTCTGGAATCTGTACCTGGAACCCCGTTTTTCACTTAAGATAACTTGTTAGGATTCTCACTGATATTTTCATGACATTATAGATAAGAAGAAGAATAAAAAAGATAAAAAGAAAGATAAAGGTGATAAAAAAGACAAGAAAGATAAAAAGAAAGATAAGAAAAAAGATAAGAAAAAGAAAGATGAGGATGAAGAAGAAGAGGATGAAGAGAAGGACAAAGAAGATGAAGGTATGATATGACATTTCTTTTGAGACCCCAACTGGAAAAACACATTTATTTACCCCATGATAGGTATGAGAGGGTCAGGTCACCCCTTGTTACCTTACATGATATATACATATAAGCATCATCTTGTCATAAATAAATATAAAAATAATATAATTATGATATACATTATATTCAATCATTCAATCGATTTTCATATAGTATGTAAAACAATTATGTATGAGTATGTATTATGCAAAAAAATCAAACAAACAACATAGTTCAATATTGGTTTGGGGTAAATTAATTTAGTGTAGCCCATTTAGTTAATTAAAGTTCATACAAGTTGCCATGATATGTATGATATGACATGACATGGGCTTGTGTTAAATTGTTTAATCATTCAAGGATCAATTTAAACTTTTAGTTTATACAAAATTTATATTAGCTTGATTGTCCAAGATATTCCTGGAACCAACCGATACTGAGCAATGAGTGTAAGGTTTCTTGCTGGAGGAAACAATTACTTTCTACTAAAAGGTTAAAACCGATGTGGCCAGTAGTCCTTAAATTAGTTTGATATTTTCTTATTAGAGATACAGAATCTTTGGACATAACCCTTATCTTGCTAGTGATAACTGATTCTACCCATGCAACTAGTGCAGATCATGGTCTGCATTGTTTGCTCTTCTGTTAGTACATATTTTGTATTTTTTTGGGGAAAAAAGATGAACGGTTTTGTCCAGACTGGAAGATGAACAAGTCCATTTAATATATCTAATTTGTTACGGCTTAAGTGTTCTTCCTTACTTTTGATATCAATTCAAATGATTTAATTAGAAATAAGTAGGCAATACATTCTTAAAAATAACTAATGTGTTTGCGTAAAAGGACAGGATTAAAGTGGAACAGATATTTTTCCACCACTTAAATTTTTCGCGTAAGTATTTTTATTCGCAATTTTCTTTAAGATGAGGAAGACGAAAAAGACGAGAAAAAGAAAGGAAAGAAGGATAAAAAAGACAAAGATAAAAAGAAAGACAAAAAGAAAGATAAGAAGAAAGGCAAGAAAGATAAAGAAGAAGAAGGTTCAGGGGAAGAAGAGGAGGAGGTAATTTTGATTTAGTTGATTACAATCTTACACAGATTTATTCTTGTTTGATTATGTTCTTTGTTTCATTGTCTAGTTGAGCTTAATTAACTACTTATTTAAAAAAAATGACTGTTGTAATGGTGATTGACCAACAGCTGATATTGAAAAATGTTTAGGATAACATATTAATCTACCTAAAATGTAAAAAGACTGTCCCACCTTTTTTATAAACTGAACATTACAGGTAAATACTGATTATTATTTTCACAAATTTCTTTTGGACAAGTGAGTTATTTATCATTTGTGCAAAGTAAATTATATATGACAAAATTTACCAGTAAACTTATTTTGACTTTTACCTATTTACTCATTGTATACCCTTAGATGGAAATAATGTCACTTTAAGATAAAATATTACTTTCTTTGGACATGATTTCATATCAGTCCAAAACACGATTGTTTAAAAAAATTCTTAAAGATGAAAATGTGCATATTTCTTTATTGAATGCATTATTTGTTGTTTGGTTCTGCTATTCTAAAAAAAATGGGGTTAGACATAACACTTGTTATATCACTGAAGGTATTTACTCAAAACATAACATGTGTCCCCAAGATTATCATTATATGTCCCTCATAGATTTTTTTTTCTAAATAATACCCTCTTTCATACCTTATTATGAAAATTTCTGGTTATAGTTTTGCATGCAAGCTCACTTCCTTCCCAACCAGGTCAGGTCTTCACTGGAATCTTCACACATGTTTCAAAGTCATTTGTAGGCTACCAATACCTGTCAGGGCCCTCGATCAACCAAATCTGCGGCCGATATTCGGCCGCATTCCCCCACCAAAATAGTATGTTTTTTTCCCCCTAACAGAGGTAAAAATTCCCCCTCAAAACATATAGAGTGTTAAAGAGAAAAATTAAAACTAATGTTGTTTTTGAAAATTAAAATCTATCTATTTGACGTCTATTTTGTAAGCGGAATATCGTACAGTACATGTCTGCACGTTTCCGTTTGTTAAATTTTTCCCCCAAAATCGACCGTCACATATTGGCCTTCATCCTGTAAAAATGCTAAAATTTCAACAGAAATATGCAGAAAAAAATCACAATTCCCATCAACAATTTAATTTCAAATTGTTTATTCATGAAATCATTTTTTTTGTCTTCAAAATGTTACATCAACCACGGTAAATTTTGCCGTGAATTACAAACTTGTAAGTTTTGTTTTCATGATACTTTATTAAATAACTGATGAAAAACGTTATTATAATAAACAATCAATTTAATTTTATATAATTTACATCAGAAACAACTAGAATTGTGGATGTGTAAACAGAAAACAAACAAATTTTCATTTGTCACATATTTTCGCGAGGCCGATTTTTACGAATGTTTTACAAAGTCAAGAAAAGGAAGCTTTGTCTTATTAAAAGGTGTGTTAGAACACTAGAAATGTAGTGTATGAATAGAATTTACTTTAGGTCCATGTTTTGTTCATATTAGTGGAAATGGAGACATTTGTCTGAATGTGTTTCTAAAAAATGAATTGGGGGGGGGGGGGGGGGATCATAAAGAAAGCTAAGCAGCATAAAGATCTGATGGTGTAAGGTGTTAAAAACTTTTCTTCAAATCTTATCAATCACTTCTGAACAGTTTAGTGTTACCTATTATGGATTTTTTTTAAAAAATATATGCATGTAAATAAAAACAGCTGATATTTAAATAAGTGTATTTGATAATAAAAGAAAAGAGAAAAATTCCCCCCATACACTAAAATTCCCCCTGCTGAGGGTAGCGACCCGCTTCCCCCAAATTGGATTGAGGGCCCTGCCTGTTATTTTAGTATTTAAGGGTCCCATCGCTTTTTAATAAAATTAATATCATAAGAATTTATATACATGTATATTTCATGATAAAGATGATAAAGTTTGTATATGAAGTTTCTGATTTCATGTATTAAAGGAGGAGGAGGATATAAAATCTAAAAAGAAAGATAAGAAGAAGGACAAAGATAAGAAGAAAAAGGTATTTATATACTTTAGTCATATAGTGATTTAGTATGCTTACATTTCATATAGTATGAATTATATATATCTTTTCCTCCCCTGAAAATCTTTACAGTGATTGCTTGTTGCATATTTAAATTATATTCTCACAACCTTGCTAATCTTAACAGCAAATGCCTATACTGTTAGGAAAGGGATGCTGTTTCATTTAATTCTTAATTCTTGAGCGATTTGCTTAAATGCATTGACAATTGTATAAAAACATAATTTCATATCATAGTTAAATAGCTAATGTTATGTGTGAAATGATGTTATTGATCAGGATAAAGACAAGGATGATGATAAATCTGAAGCAGAAGAAGATAAAACAGAGGAGAATAAAGAACCAGAGAAACCTGCTGAACCTCCGAAGAAAAAGGTATGTTTATTCTGTAACTCTATAACCTTATTGGGCTTTTGTGGTCAAATCTTTCCGAGTTCGAATTTAGATAGAGATGTTAAGTCATAAAAGAAAGCTATTTGAAGCCAGCATGCAATAATCAGTTTTATCAAATAGATATCACTCAGTTTTATCAAATAGATATCACTCAGTTTATCTAATAGATAACCGCCTCCGTGGTCGAGGGGTTAGAGACGATGACTTCTTATCCAGTTACCTCTCTGGCGTCGGTTCTATCCCAGGGAGATGCTTTGGTAGTTTAGCACGGAGGAAGGTAGTGTAGTACTAGTGTAACTCTCCAGGAATGATGGTTAGGAAACTACCTGCCTATATAACTGAAATACTGTTGGGTAAAGGCGTAAAATGAAACAAACAAACAATCTAATAGAATGATATCACTCAGTTTTATCTAATAGATATCACTCAGTTTTATCTAATAGATATCACTCAGTTTTATCTAATAGATATCACTCAGTTTTATCTAATAGATATCACTCAGTTTTATCTAATAGATATCACTCAGTTTTATCTAATAGATATCACTCAGTTTTATGTAGTAGATATCACTCAGTTTTATCTAATAGATATCACTCAGTTTTATCTAATAGATATCACTCAGTTTTATCTAATAGATATCACTCAGTTTATCTAATAGATATCACTCAGTTTTATCTAATAGATATCACTCAGTTTTATCTAATAGATATCACTCAGTTTTATCTAATAGATATCACTCAGTTTTATCTAATAGATATCACTCAGTTTTATCTAATAGATATCACTCAGTTTATCTAATAGATATCACTCAGTTTATGTAGTAGATATCACTCAGTTTTATCTAATAGATATCACTCAGTTTATCTAATAGATTTCACTCAGTTTATCTAAAAGATAACCGCCTCCATGGTCAAGGGGTTAGAGTCGATGACTTCTAATAGAGTTACCTCTCTGGCATGGGTTCGATCCCCGGGAGATGCTTTGGTAGTTTAGCACGGAGGAAGGTAGTCTAGTACCGATGTAACTCTCTAGGAACGATGGTTAGGAAACTACCCGCCTACATGACTGAAATACTGTTGGGAAAAGGCGTAACATGAAACAAACAAACAATCTAATAGAATGATATCACTTAGTTTTATCAAGTAGATATCACTTTTATCTGAAATTCTACATTTACGAGCACCCTGAGTGTTATTCCAATGAAACATCTGAAAAAAGTTTTATTGATTCAAAATCTAACTTCATGTACATATATTTAATCTTGCTCTCGAAAACAAGTTGTTATTTATCAAGTATTTGTTTCTTATTAACTATCTATATGCCTGTCTCCATCTATTTATCCATATTTCAGTAAGAAACCAAATGAGTCATGTTATTACATGTATGTTATCTGATATAAATAAAAGTATTTGTTGTTGTTGATATTTCATAATATATGTTATGAATGAATGAAATGCTTGATTTTTCCAACACAACAAACATGTGGTTGAAATTCACTCATTAAATGTTATAAGATATAATGAAAAATTTCAAGGGACATTCAAATATAGAACTTTTTTAAGAAATGCTGAATAAAGCTGTTTGACTAAGATTGAGTTAACTGCCCTTGTCAGGTAGAGGCATGGATTTTCAGCTTCTTGAAAAATCCATGTTTTCTGCCTATAGTTATGTTGTATGTGCTATAAACATATATTGTATGTTTAACGCAATAAAATTATTTGAGTTTGAAAATTATTTGAACTTATGCATTGTTGTTTTTCCTTTCAAATATAAAATGTGGTGCAGCTTTGAAATGAATTTTTTTAAAGCTAGAAAAAATTGTAAAACCAACATTTTATAGATTTATTGACATTTAAAAAAAAAATCCAATTTATCTTTCAGTCAAGGACCTGTACGATTTTGTGATGGCCTAGGAGCATAGAAACCAATTTCTATTCCACACATGAGTTGTTGAGATTTACATTCACTGAATATAATGGCAGAAGAAAAACTTATTCCAGGACAAACATGTGGAAAGTGCTGTCGTGCATAACAGAAATTGTCATTTATTTATGTATAAATTGTGATAAAAAGTAGATAGCTTTGGTGCTACCATATTGGGGACATATATGTGTACCTGTTTGTCCGTCTGTATTTACGTTCAGCTGATATTAGCCATTTTAGTTCTATGCACTGTAACTGCTTTTACCCAGATTTCAACACATTTTTGTCATTTACTTTTCTCTTTTGTTCAGAGTTAAGACTCTGTTGTGATAAGTGTATGTAAAGGCTATGCTTCCACAAATAATTAATGTATATTTGTCATTGTTAAGTTGTGGATCCATATGTGTAAAGTTTCAGCTCTAGCAGTCACGAGATATTCCACATTGTTAAAAAGTTCTTGTTTATATTTATGATGGCAGGCAGCTTAGACCCATTGATTTTTTATCCAATGGGACAATTTTAGTTAGAAACAACAGCAGCTCCTGTAAATAGTCATAAAAGATCTGCTTTGCTCCCTAAGACCATGTAACCTAATCATAATAATGTGAAAGTGTTTCCATTAAATTGAATGAGTGAATGTTATTGTTAGATTGGAAAAAAAAGGAAATTACTCATAAAAAATGGTCATCAAAGTATGGGATACTTATTGTTTACCTTGCCAGTACTATATCAGGTTTAGCTGATTCCAGCTTTTAGATTTTAATTTTTGTTTAAATGAAAGTACATATGTATTCTTTAAGTATGTTTAAACCTTGTTATTATAAAAGATTGATCTTATATTTTTGTTAAGATGACCAACACAAACAAGTTGTGTTTTTCTCATTACTTTTGTGTTGTGACGAGATTGGTGGGCTCTTGTAAAACTAAAAAAGAACAATATACATGTATTACAAGTGCAAGGGGTGTAGTTTATATCCAGTATATAGTGATGATCAATAAAATGAATGTGTAAGATTGAAAGTGAAAAATGATTTAAGATTTCTTTTTTACAAAATGATTCATAGAATATTGCCGCAAATATTGTATATTATGTTTTGTATAGTCATGCATTTCCAGTTTCAATATCTGTCAGGGGTACATAAGTAAAAATATTGTTTACCAAAGATTTTCATTAAAAGGCAGGAGCTGAGAAATTAGTAATTAATGTAATAGTATTTCATTAGGATAAATCACTTGTATAACCAACATTTGCATTTACACATTTTTACATTTGTCAGTGAGTGCAAGAGCAGTACCAAATAATGTAAGGAATCTTAAGACATTGATGATAGGTTGCCACAATTACAGAGGTTAAGTGTGGAGAGGAGGTAGAAATGGTTGTGAGGGTGGGGGGGGGGGAGAAATGATTGTGAGGGGGTAGAAGTGGTTGTGAGGAGAAAGAAATGGTTGTGAGGGGGTAGAAATAGTTGTGAGGGGTGTAGAAATGGTTGTGAGAGTTAGAAATGGTTGTAAGGGGATAGAAATGATTGTGAAGGGTGTAGAAATAATTCTGAGGGGGTTGAAATGGTTGTGAGAGTTAGAAATGGTTGTAAGGGGATAGAAATTATTGTGAGGGGTGTAGAAATGGTTGTGAGGGGGTAGAAGTGGTTGTTACCAAGCCATGTGCTGTGATACTGAGACTAAAACAAGATTATGCATTACTCTTTTGGTAATGGACATTTGTATCCATGGAGACCTGCATGAAGTTTTTTTTACATCAAATTGTAAAAACAAGCTGTCTTAATTTTTGAAACTGCTCTTAATGAGTAGTTTCAGATTCAAACCAGTTAATGATAATTACGCCAGTTAAGCAGGGATATGCAACATGAATATATTTAAGTTGAAACAATAGCCACAATGAGCAGTGTATTATTTTGTTTAAGTCTTTCCTAATCGCCATGTTTGAATTAAAGTTACTCCGTCACAATTCAAGGGAAAATATTTAAACATCCTCAATTCAACTTTAAATAGTTTTTTATTGGTAAAGGAAAATACCGGTGAAATTTCACAAGTCATCTAAATTGTACAACTATTATCCTTAAAAAGAATTAGTTGTAATTGCTGTTTATTTTCTATAAATTAAAATATATTTATCTCTAAAAATGTGTAAGAGTAGCTTTGAAAATTTTTTTTATTATTATTATATCAAAGTTTAAATGCTGTATTTATGTGTTTGTAAAGTTAATGTGTTGTAAATATTTACTTAGTTTAAGATTTTGTTAAAAATTTAACTTGTTGAAAGTGCTATATGACATATATATGTATCATATAAAAATATTACAATTTTATAAGCTTGTAAAAATGTCTTAAAGTTTTCATTGTAATTTATACATGATATTCCAAAGTTGTAAATTTCTTAAGGCTTTTGTTCTTTGCAATGAATTTCTGGCATACACAATGCTTTAGGGAGTAACTGTCATCGCAGCTTGTTTATATACTATATATATATTACCGTACATTATCAACTGACTACTATGCTGGTTTAGTCAATGTGCATTTACAGAGTAATATAGGCTACAGAGATATATTCCATGTAAATTATTCCAAAATCATTAAGATTATTCTTCTGATCAGTATCTTTAAAATGGTTTGTTTTTGGGATGGGGAACTGTATTGTGGAAAAGATACAAACATTGACATAGGGAAATAGGAATAAAAAGTAACATACTTAACTTGCAAATATCAAGTATTTTCATTGAAAACGTTTTAAATAGCAATTAAACTTGTTACTTAAGAAAGGTTTCTACCAATGATTGCTATCTTTTCCATCCCTTACCCCACCCACTGTTTGTAGTCCCTCCTGTTAGGTGTCGGACTGGATGCCTTTCTAGTGGTCTTATGTGCTGGATGTTATTAGGGGATGGTTTAAAGTTTCATTAATGTTGCTATCCCTTTTCAAACCTTGCTTTCCTATATTATAGAAAATTTTTGTCTACCTGTATTTATTTTTTAAAGCGAACCAGCCCAGTAAAGACTTAGTTCTGAACAGTAAATTTTGAGTATTTTATTATTTATTTGTTAATGTTAGCCAGTGTTAGAGATTTAAAAAATATGTTATTTATCTGCTTTTGTTGTACATACATTGTAATATATTCATTTATCTGAAGCAAAATTTTAATATTTTGTTTCGAGATGCAAAAACTTTTCTGCTTTTGTCAGAAATGTGTTTTATTCCGTCCATTGTATATGTAGTTTTTATCTTAGACCTTAAGTGCCAATTTAGAATTTTGAAATATATATATAGATTTGGTATATATATTTAGTACAAAGATATTATATATGTATAGTATATTGTGAAGTAGATATAGATTTACTGTCATTTATAATGTAAGCATGCAGAATATTTGCTTACTCGTATTTCCTTAATTAACTATTACTGTTTATATTCCTTTTAATTACTGAAGGGATATTTAAATTTTCCTTACAGTAACTGTTTCTATTGAAAATTTTACTTGAGAACTATGTTTTTGTCAAAGATACATATATATATTTTTAATATAGAAACATAATAAATATGTATGTATGCTTGCATTTTTATTGAATGTTTAATTGATAGTATAACTTAAAGATTCCAGTGAACAGGAACATTTGAAATACTGAATTATAGAATAAGGTATTCCACGTTTTAGTCTTAATTTACCAAAAATCTCTGTAACTCTCCATATTTAACTATATATTTGCAATGTAGATAGTGTGCTTGCTTTTTCATTGCACCCAAGCTGGTATATAACATAGTGGAACAAGCAACTGGAGATTAGCGCTGTGTTATCTTTTCATACAATTCAGCTCACAAGCAGCCATTTTTTTCTTATTAAAAATTGTGAAAGGGTATTTTTGTCCATAGTAAAGAGTAAATTAAAGAAATATAAAGCAGATTGCATAAGATTTTGACCATCTTTTAGTTTTAAAATGGCCACACCATGATTTTATGAACTTTTATTTATGCATATTTTTCTCTCTGGCGTGGGTTCGATCCCCGGGAGATGCTTTGGTAGTTTAGCACGGAGAATGGTAGTCTAGTACTGGTGTAACTCTCTAGGAACGATGGTTAAGAAACTACCCACCTATATGACTGAAATCTGTTGGGAAAAGGCGTAAAATGAAACAAACAAACTAATAACGTATAAATATATGAATTAGATCTATGCTAAACAATTGATCAGACACTTTATCTAATCAGAAATTGCTTGTCCCATTATATTATGTCCCAGCACATAGAAATAGTGACCCACATTTTATCTGATATCAAACAAAAAATTACAAAATATTCTGATAAATACAATACCGAAATTTTGTATTAAAATAATATTTTAATATTTTTTCATGCATTTTTTCATTCATCTTTGTAGGAATTATAGTTCTTTATATACAAAAAATGTAGATTATAAAACAAGAAAATGGATTGTTATATATGAAATGCTCATGTATATATATCAATGCCACTGTTATTATTTATTTGCTCATTTTCCATTCATTTAATGAATCATGAATAAAATATATACACCATAAATCTGTTTGTTGTTGTGTTTTTTATATAAAGCCAAATTAAGCTCAATACATTTTAGTGTTAAGGACATGTGTATTGAGTTCAGATATGTGAGTTATAACCGCCTCAGTGGACGAGGGGTTAGAGTCGATGACTTCTAATCCAGTTACCTTTCTGGCGTGGGTTCGATCCCCGGGAGATGCTTTGGTAGTTAAGCGCGGAGGAAGGTAGTCTAGTACTGGTGTAACTCTCCAGGAACGATGGTAAGGAAACTACCCGCCTATATGACTGAAATACTGTTGGGAAAAGGTGTAAAATGAAACAAACAAACGAGTGCAGACACTGCACAAGTCTTCTTTTCTTTGCTGAAGTATTTTAGGTAAAAACAAAATTTCCAGTCACAGCTATTTATTATAGTGCTACTTTTTTAAATAAATATTTAAGAGAGTTGGCAGTTACTTATTGGATCACAGGAACTTGAAATTCTACCAAATAACCAATATTAATGATAATATCCAAAAATACTCCCAATATAGTGTTTTTTATACTGCAATGTATATAGGGGATATATTTTGGATATTATAATTAATATTGATAGAATTTAAAGTTCCTGTGGTTGGATATTATCAAGAAACACATTTTAACCACAGGGTCAGTGACATCAAAACTTTTTTTCCAATTTATGTTTTGATGAACCTCTTGCTTAACCAACAGATGATGAAATTGGAAGTGATATTGAGAGGGCATTCCTTCCATACAGATTCTAATGTTAAAACTAATTAGTCAAATTGTAATTAAACTTTCAACATTCAATTTTAAGCAATGGCCATCAAAATACACCAATGCATTATTGAATGATGATCCTTGACTACATTATAGAAATAGCATTTTTAGTGTTTCCATAAGTATATGGAGAGCCCTCTTACTCATCCAAGCATCTTAAGCTTTTGTGCAGTTAAATTTGTTGATTTCATGAGGGATTTATTTCAAACTTTAATATATATTTCTTATCAACACTAACAAATATAATGTGAAAAGGTTCATAATTCTAGCATCAATATTTGTAAAATTATCTACCCTTGAATTAAGAATTTAATTTTTTTGGCAACTTTTCTAAAAAAAAATTTTGAGGTACAGTACTAACTAAAGTGTGCTGTCTCCTTCACAACTGTTGTTAACCTTTTACCCCATGAGCATATTGTGAAAAATGGCCGTTTTCATTGAAAAGCCTCCTGTTACAAGTTCAAACTGCTATGAAACTATGAAAAATGCTTCAATACTGATGAAACTTGGCACAAATGTTGACTAGACCATAGCCTCTGTAACAGCATGCTCAAGCGTAAATTTCCTGTTACCATGGCAACGGGGGGACGTCTCAAAATTGCCAAAAATCACTATTTTGCATTGTTTTTTCTCATCAAAACTGATTTTAAAGTGCTGCAACTTCTCAATGAATTGAGATTATCAGATAGAGTAAAAGACTTTTCAGCGTCGGTTACTAGTTACCCTAAGATCGACCGGAGGCCATTTTTTGCCTGTGACATGTCCAAAATTTTCTTGGCGATGAAGGGGACTACCGCCCCCCCTTCAACCCCCCCCCAAACAGAAGGGGGCACATCCCTCATCTGGCAATCCCTGATGTACCATTTTGATGGGGGCGGCGCAAAAAAGGGGTCAATTTTTTAACAACATTTCTCGAATAAAAAACAGTATTTGAGGCCTAAATAAGGCATTTTTTCACTGTTTGAGGCCTCAAAAAGGGGGGGGGGGGGCAAAAAGCCATCAAAACACGTCTATATGAGGGATGAGGTTAAGGAAAATAAGCTCAATACAAAGTAAATATAAAACTGGCAGGAAAGTGCATATATAATTTGAAAATACCATTTGAGATTAACTGAATTATACCCATGTTTCTTTGAAATGACATTTTCGTTTCAAAACTGAATACTCTCAGATCTGTACCTTGGAGCTGATTTTCTATGAATGGTGGCATGGTGCATCGTTTATACCATCATAATTCACAGATGGGTTGAGTTACAGCCCTTTGTTTTATTCATATTACCATTTGAGGCATTGCATTCAAACCTAGAATATTTATACAATACCCAGTTCCATTCTTAGGCAAGAGAACATCAATGGCTCATTAATTTTCCGGCATATTTCAAAGACTTGCCCCTTTACATCTATCCGAGTGTTTGACACAATCTATATAAATTCTTACAAATTATGCAATCAAGGTTACATATTCTCAATGAAAAATATGATGGTAAGAGACTTGTGGGGGTCGGGGGCTTTAAATTGGTCAAACTGTGTATCAAAACTAAAGGAAAAATCTATCTTTGTTAATCTCATGTACACCTTGTAGAACATCCAGCTTAGAGAGCTAATGTAAAAATTCTAGCTAGTACATAAAAAGCAATAGCTAATATCACTGGAGGAAGGGGAAAACTTTACAAAGGGTGTTGTAAATATCACAAAAACCTGTTTCAAAACATTTATTGCAGCTCAATCATAACATAAAACTGATAAAGAAAGTAGAAAAAGGTATACAATGTGATTATTGTGATAAGTAAAATGATAAAAGCAATGTTGCCATGGGCTATCTTAATTACTTCACACTACAATTTTCTCAGAGGAGTCAAATTTTCTATTAATCTAAGGGGTAAAATTTTGTATTAATCTACATGTCATTTTCTCAAGGAGCGTAAATATTGATACTAAAATTTACCTAGATTATCGAGTCTTAACTTTTATGCCTCTCTTCATTGTTTAAAGGTAAATAAAATAACCAGAAACATGTATTTATTATATAGACAAATTTGTTAGTAAATCTATTTTATCAAGATATTTGTTATTTACAAAGTGAAGAAACTTCTATATTTACTAACCATACCATAAACAATTCAAAGTAAAACCTGTATCTTTACAAAAATAAATTATACCTATTACTTGTGATCCCAAAAAGATAAATCTACATACAAGAAGCGCCGCAATGCGACGAAAAACCAGGTTTTCAACGACCAAATTTTGATGTGACAACAATCAATAGGTCAAAGTGCACTGAAGTAATTGAGTAGATACTGAAAATTCTATTGTAAGCAAATTACCTTGACCTTGTACCTAGATATCTAAGTGGCAATCCAAAGCTGCCACTCAGCAAGTTCGGTGTCAAAAGGTCAAAGCAAACTCAAGTTATATCATGAAAACTAAATGCATTAACCTTGATCACAGACACCTGGGTACCAATCCCAAGCTGCCTCTTGATATAAGCTACCCATTCATCAAGTTTGGTGTCAATAGGGCAAAGCAATCTCAAGTTATTGAGCAGAAACTGAATTTCTATTTTTAGTAACAGTGACCTTGACCTTGATCACAGACACTTGGGTACCAATCCCAAGCTGCCTCTTGATATAACCTATCCATACACCAAGTTTGTTGTCAATAGGCCAAAGCAATCTCAAGTTATTGAGCGGAAACTGAATTCCTATTTTTAGTAACAGTGATATTGACCTAGATCACAGACACCTGGGTACCAATCCCAAGCTGCCTCTTGATATAAGCTATCCATACACCAAGTTTGGTGTCAATAGGCCAAAGCAAACTCAAGTTATTGAGCGGAAACTGAATTTCTATTTTCAGTAACAGTGACCTTGACCTAGATCACAGACACCTGGGTACCAATCCCAAGCTGCCTCTTGATATAAGCTATCCATACACCAAGTTTGGTGTCAATAGGCCAAAGCAAACTCAAGTTATTGAGTGGAAACTGAATTTCTGTTTTTAGTAACAGTGACCTTGACCTTGATCACAGACACCTGGGTACCAATCCTAAGCTGCCTCTTGATATAAGCTATCCATACACCAAGTTTGGTGTCAATAGGCCAAAGCAAACCCAAGTTATTGAGCAGAAACTGAATTTCTATTTTTAGTAACAGTGACCTTGACCTTGATCACAGACACCTGGGTAGCAATCCCAAGCTGCCTCTTGATATAAGCTATCCATACACCAAGTTTGGTGTCAATAGGCCAAAGCAAACTCAAGTTATTGAGCGGAAACTGAATTTCTATTTATAGTAACAGTGACCTTGATCACAGACACCTGGGTAGCAATCCCAAGCTGCCTCTTGATATAAGCTACCTAAACACCAAGTTTGGTGTCAATAGGCCAAAGCAAACTTAAGTTATTGAGCGGAAACCAAAAGTTGACGCCCGCCGCCGCCCGCCTGCCCCCCCCCGCCCGCCGCCGACTTCGGCATTACAATAACCCGGTTTTCGTTGAAAACCTGGTTAATAAGAGATACAAAAAGGCAAGAAGATAAAATTGTAGACTGGTTTATGTTTTGTTCACAAGAGACAATGAAGATAGCAGCAACTCTTAAACATTCTGGTACAGTCTATGACAGTATTCTGTTTTCAGAATAAATGAAATAAACCCAAAGGACCATTAACACATAATCACAGATATGATATTTGGGTTGAAATATGCGGCCATCACTCATCCCTGGACACCAAGTGTTGTGGATATTAAAGAAGGATCTGTTCTCAGCAATAATCACTCATAAATGAAGTGAATAAAATGTTGAAGCGTCAAATCAAGCTTACACAACATCCTGATAGTTTGAAGATTTTTTAATACTTATCTCCCTTTACAAAACTGACAGCCTATGATTTCGGGGAACAAAAGTTTAAAAAAAATCTATTCCAGACAGATTTCAAATTGATCAAAAAGATATATTACGGACAAATATCACACCTATTAAACATTCAAAGAAAATATTTTTTCACAAATTATTTCAAGACAAACAAATTGCTGCAAGGGGAGATCATAAATGTTTAATGAAAATCAGAATAATATGTTGGGTTACTTCCCCATGTTATTTATTTCCTAACTGATGATACGATACAAATGAGTGCAATGATAAAATAGAATGACTGCAAATAAATAAATGAAAATAATGTAAAACCATAATACAAATTCAAAATGTAGACAAAACTGAATATAATATTCAAATGGTGAATAAAAAATAATTACAAACTGACTAGTTACTTAGGTACTGATTTCTTTTACAAAATGATTTTGAATAGTCCTATAAAATGCCATATAAACTGTTTATCGGTACATTAAACACTTATCTATACACAGTTATATAGAAAACTTATTTTCAATTTCATTAGCACTTCAAATACATTAGAATGGATTTATTGATACAAGTTCATACAGTTTTGTACGTTAAAAGATCTTTCTCAATGCTGTTATTTTGACGAAAAGATTTTTTTTTCTAGGCAAATTTTCATTTACAATTTCTTTCAACACTATGAACGTAACATGAATAACATTTTAAGCGTCTTAATAAAAATCTACTCAACAAAAGCCATCTTATCAATTGATGTAACTTGACTGATAAAAAGTAGTGTCGAGCAAAACCCTACATTTATACATACATGTACACTGTTTACTCTTCAATTTTCAAATAACCTTCCTAATGCTTAACTTATAATGTGGAATCAAATAAAAAATCGTTAACAAAGAAATGATCACTCCAGAAAAAACATGTAAGCATGTACCTCTGATATACCATATTAATACAACATAAATGATAATACAAGTAGTTCTTACAACAATTCATGATCATAAACACACCCTGTTTTAACAAAGAGGTATTCATCATCTCAGAATGATTTTTATAGTAACACTTCTTTTTAATAAAATTGTAAATTTAAATATAAGCAATTATTTATGTCTACAATGTATTTAAACATGGTAGTGTAACAGTAGGTTTTTTTTAACTGAATCAAATGTTTTTCTTTCCAAAAGAATGAAAAAGTAAAGAAAAACTTTAGATGAAACACTGTCTCAAAGATAATTGTTTTATTTTACTTTTTCTTCTAAATATCAATTATATTTCATAAATGATTCTTTTTATCTAAGAATAGAATCACCGACAGCAGCCCAAAAAAAGCTTTATCACATTATTTAATGAAGCAAGCATATTTGTAATTATCTTGTCTTTTTGTTCTAGTACAACGGTTTGTCGAATTTTAACCTTTGTGATAAACATTTACACTATCACATACAATAACATGGGATACCCTAAGTATATTTTTAGTTTAGTTGTATCCTACAACTATATAAACAAAAACGGAAGATTGTGTTAATACCAAAGTGTTTGTTACAGTAAGGAAAAATTGGGATAATAATTGATAATCATTTTTTGTAATACATTAACAACATGCCCTGTTAAATTTGTAATAATATAATGCCACACATTTTCTGAAACAATGTAAAAATGTGTCAAAAAGTTACAAAGTAGCATTCACACCAAAAACTACGGAATGTTTCATCACAAATATCATGGCACATGAATAATGCAACATTATAAGATGATTGATGATAAACAACATGGTCAGTATTTACATGTATATAAATACCTGATAGTATTTACTAATTGTATCATCAAAATATTTAAAACATTTATGATTTAAAAACAAAACAAAAACAAGAGGGCCATGATGGCCCTGAGGTCGCTCACCTGTATATAGGCCCCCCACCCCCGGGCCAATTTTTACCCATGGGCTTTTATTTGTTTATTTGAACAGACTTGGTAGACACCTCTAAGAAGATGTTTCATGCTAAACATCTAAGTTCTAGCTCATTGGGTTTTTAAAAAAAACATTTTTAAAGTTTTTACTATACACATATAGTTAAAAACAATGACAGCCCTGGGGCAGGGCCAGTTTTGACCCCCAGGCTTTTATTTGAACAAACTTTGTAGATATTTACTTAAAGATGTTTCATGCTTAATATCTAAACTCTAGCTATTTGGGTTTTTTCAAAGAAGATTTTTAAGTTTTTGCTATACACATATAAGGAAAAATAATTGACCCCCCGGGCGGGGCCAGTTTTGACCCCAGGGCTTTTATTTGAACATACTTGGTAGACACCCATTAGAACATGTTTCATGCTAAATATCTTAGCTCTAGCTCTTTGAGTTCTTTAAAAGAAGATTTTTTAAGTTTTTACTATATGCATATAGGAAAAATCAATGACCCCCCGGGGCGGGGCCAATTTTGACCCCAGGGCTTTTATTTGAAAAAATTTGGTAGACACTCATTAGAAGATGTTTCATGCTAAATATCTTAGCTCTAGCTCTTTGGGTTCTTTAAAAGAAGATTTTTAAAGTTTTTACTATATGCATATAGGGAAAATCTATGACCCCCTGGGGCGGGATCAATTTTGACCCCAGGGCTTTTATTTGAACATACTTGGTAGACATTCACTAGAAGACATTTCATGCCAAATATCTAAGCTCTAGCTCTTATGGTTCTTTAAAAGAAGATTTTTAAGTTTTTACTATATGCATATAGGGAAAATCAATGACCCCCGGGGCGGGTCAATTTTGACCCCAGGGCTTTAATTTGAACAAACTTGGTAGACACTCACTAGAAGATGTTTCATGCTTAATATCTTAGCTCTAGCTCTTTGGGTTCTTTAAAAGAAGATTTTTTAAGTTTTACTATATGCATATAGGGAAAATCAATGACCCCCTGGGGCGGGGCCAATTTTGACCCCAGGGCTTTTATTTGAACAAACTTGGTAGACATTCACCAGAAGATGTTTCATGCCAAATATCTAAGCTCTAGCTCTTACGGTTCTTTAAAAGAAGATTTTTTAAGTTTTTACTATATGCATATAGGGTAAATCAATGACCCCCCGGGGCGGGGCCAATTTTGACCCCAGGGCTTTTATTTGAACAAACTTGGTAGACACTCACTAGAAGATGTCTCATGCCAAATATCTTAGCTCTAGCTCTTAGGATTGTTTAAAAGAAGATATTTAAAGATTTTTCTTTTGGTTGCCATGGCAACCAGAGTTCTGCATGGAATTAAATTCTTTGAACAATTTTCAAAGGTGACCACCAAAGGAACATTCCTGTGAAGTTTGGATGAAATTGGCTCAGCGGTTTATGAGGAGATGTCGTTTAAAGTAAAAGTTTACGGATGACGGACGACGGACGGACGGACGGACGCCGGACGAAAAGCGATCACAAAAGCTCACCCTGTCACAAAGTGACAGGTGAGCTAAAAAATATCATAAACGAGGACAAGAACAAAATAAAATTTTCCGAAACTTCATCAAAATACCACAAATATTTATATCTTACAAGTCAATATGTTAATTAAAGATCTTTTTATCACTTAGCTTTTCTCTGTTAGTACTGTTCAACAGTCATAATAACACATTGGTCTTTCATTTACTACATGTACATACATTACTGGTAGGTATTTGTTTATAGTAATAACATTTTTACATTTGTTTTTATCTAATTAACAAATCAAGCTAAGACCCACCACCTTACATTTTTTTAAATAACTTGCATCTTTAACCCTTCTGTCAATGCTGTTGTAAAAATTTAAAACCAATACAGTGACAATATTGCTTCTTGTTACTAAATATACTATATAGAGTATTATAGACTGGTTATTTGCTCTTTTCATTTGATACCTTCATTTCTTATAAATTATTTTTCTATAAAAGTACAGGACCATCTCTAGTACATCAACATACTTGTTCCAAATGATTGAAATACCTTTCTAATGAAACAGTCAACATATATACATGTAAATAAACAACTGAATTAATGCTATAACAAGCATATACATTATTACATATATATTGGAAATAAACGATGACACCAATTTACCAACATTTCTGTTATTTATATTTATAAGGTAAACAATAATTCAATTATACCAACATTTCTGCGAGGATGTTCATGTACATTATATCTATAAATTGATAATAATAATAATAAAAAGAAGACATTTATGAGATGTGAGAAAGATACAGCTGTTTTCTGTACAGCAAACAATGACAACAACAGGGGTAATATCACAAGAAGCCCAATAACAATATCATATTATACTCTAATATACCAAACATCTTATATACATGTTTCCATACAACATCATCATCATTTATTATACTACCAATTAACGTTTCTCAACATATTACTTTATGATTAGTATATCGTCACCTTATGGAGCATTAACGGCTTAACTCCTATTGAAATTTAATTGGAGTTAATCCATTACTGCACTGAGGTGACATATGGAGAATAAAATCTCTGAATTATGCCATTTTTTCCATAAATTTCAGAAAGTATGTCTATAAATTTATGTATGTATGTATAAAGAATTAAGGGCTATAAGTTTACACACTGATAAACTCTTTGCGATAGAATTTACAAAAATTCTTTATCCGTCAAAAATTTACAGATGTAAACATATAAATTCATATGTCAAACTTGATATTTCACAACATCAATTACCTTGTACTTTTTACAACAATTTGTATTTCAACCATATACTCTTTTTTAACAATTACATAAAATCATTTACCAAATTTTTGTTCCTTCTAATATAGAGTGCTTATAAACAGTCTTTATGTAAAACAATTTTTCCTAAATTATATCTCACATTTTCACAATTTTGTAGTTTGCTAAAACTTGTATTATTTCCATTTCAAAAATCAACTACAAAAACTTTACCGCTAATTTTATGACAGCTTTTTATTTTTCAATTTGATTAAGAATGGTAAAATGCCCATATGATAATATTATGAAGTATAGTATTGTTACATTAAATTACATGACATGATTTTTTACGCATCATTTTCGAGATAAAGCAGTGTGTATATGTGAATTTATTTAAAGCCAAACTTTTCATAAAATAACTTTTGTACATGATAAAAAATACTGACTAAGGTTTCAACACTTTTTGCATTGATCATGGTCCCGTCTTAATTGAACAATATAAAATAACAATAAACATAATTGAGCCGTGTCATGACAACACCAACATAGTGTGTTTGCGACCAGCATGGATCCAGACCAGCCTGCGCATCTGCGCAGTCTGATCAGGATCCATGCTGTTCGCTATCAGTTTCTCTTCTTGTAATAGGGTTGGTAAGCGAACAGCATGGATCCTGATCAGACTGCGCGGATGCACAGGCTGGTCTGGATCCATGCTGGTCGCAAACGCATTATGTTGGTTTTGTCATGACACGGCTCATATAATAGAGGAATATCAACAACTGGAAATAGCTCACAGATTGGTTGAAGTATTTCACACTTAAAATAAAAACATGCAGATATAAAATCACTGTTTTTATGGATTTCTACTTTGAGCAGATAAAATATTTCAACAAATTATTTTAATAAGAAGATATGACCTTACTTTTACTTCAAAGATACCTTATCTGGTTTACAGTCAACATCATTATTGCACCTGTTAACATTTAACACAAATACAAAAAATACCCTTTACTACCAAAGGTTCAAAATGTTTTCTTACTTGATCATATTAAAATCTATATTTACTGAACAACTTTAAAAATGTCATGATTTCAAATAAAATACCTCTTTGAAGTAATCTAGTCATCATATCAATGTTACACTCATAATAAATTAACTTATTGTACAAGTTACATCAGTTTTACTATGAATCTAATTTAACATATAGTACAAGAACTGTCTCAAAAAGTAATGGACATGGCTGTGTAACAAAAAAATAATGCCTGAACCTAGATTAATTTTGCATACATATTTATCCATCGGTTTATGTCGAATAAAAAATATTACAAGATCATATACAATATATTATAATATACTAAAAGCATCAATACACATCCAAGGAATGTGTATGCAGCCCACACCAAAACTTGTCATTTTACAAACCCAACTCATTATCTTGAAAACATTACAAAAGGTTGTGAATGTTAAAAAAAATCCACCAATTGCTATGACATTGGAATTTACCATTTGTCATATGGCGCAATTTAACTCAACATGCACAACATGTTTACAGTGATTGTTTTACTATATATATACATTATGTTGTGTTCATAAAAGCACAATATTAATGGTAATGTTTGGCAAAGCTTCTAACAAGCAGGCAGTTCACAATTTCTGCTATGAATGTGAAATGGCACCAACTGATACGCATATGTGATAAAATTATGCAACAAGTTACAATGAAGTAGCAAAAATGGGATGCCAGCAGTCAAGCAATCATTAACAGTAAGTGAACACAGTTGAGAACGTTATTTAAGACAGCTGTTGAACAGTTCGCAACACGTCAGAAGTTTTAGATGGTGGAAAATCTACTGTGAATATTACTTTGAAGGACAATTTTTGTACTTGTCTACGAAAAGAGGGTTGCTCAATATTGAATAATTGAATATTGAACAAGTACCTTTAACAGGGGTGAATATTTTGACAATTTGAAAAAGACAAATATTGGCTTAACATCACATATAATATTAATATGACGTTTCAGTGTGGACCACATCACATTACCAGGTAATCTTGTAGTTCTGTGTGATCAAATTTAACAATATCAGGTTGATTGTTTGCAAATACTCTCAACAAAAGGCATATTAGATATCAGTGGTATTTTAACATTATGCATGCTCAAAACCTTGTTGTCCATAACTTATTGGGACAGTTCTCATATATCCAGTTATCTAATAAAATTAAGGAGGAAAACAACTAAATTTGAGTAAGGACAATTCTATCAAGTAATAATTACAGTTAAATTAACTATCAAGTAATAATTACAGTCAATAATTACAGTCAAGTTAAAGAAAGACAAGATTTCACACTACAATATATCCCTTTACACACTATACTCAATGAAGATTTATTATCTGAGAATTATTTACAAAATGATTATGCTGTTTCTGTGACAAGATGATTTTGACTGCTGGTCACATGGTTTTCTGGAGAGTCTTCCATTGAATAAGCCGAGCTAATAGTCATGTTCTGATTGGCTGGCTGAACTAGCTTACGATTGGCTGAGAAATTTACAACACTTTCTTGATTGGCTAATTCTTGTTGCTTAGCATCAAGTCTGGACCAAACCACTTCTGGATGAGGGAGACCCCTAGATGTGTACTCTGAAATTAAAAAAACAAAATTTATCAAATAATATAAAATCAAGGTAGTCATATAATACAACACACTACATGAACTTCCATGATGAAACCTCATGGATTATCTCTGATAGTCTACAGATTGATTTGTTATACTTGACCTTTAACCTCCTGGATATGTGTAATGGATTTACCCTGGATATGGAAAAGTCCATTCAAAATAACAAAATATAAAAATTGAACTTTAACCAACAGTACAGAGCCTGGACACAATGTACGAAAATGCTATCTGGCCAGACTTTATACTGGTGGCCTAGGCTTACCACTTTCAGTTCCAGCAAGTCAAATTGTCTATTGCAACATCAATCTGTGCAATATTGGTCTGAAATATCAAAGTACCATTCATTATACTGATAAAGTCTGACTGAAAATTGCAATTAGCAAACACTGATCTGGATTATATCACTAATGAACAAACTAACATATATAGGGTTAGTGTTATAGGAAAGTATATAAAGTGCTGAGTTCTAGTGTCATGGTTATATATTTCTTTTTACTAGTTTATAAAATGCATAACTTGAAACAAATTGAAAGACTTCTTCAAAATCTTTATCTATACATTGTATCATAGTTGCGGGACCTTTCTGTTGAAAATGTGTCAGAGATAAATCGTATACATATACATGCACAGTGCGTTAACTGGAGTGCAGGTATTAGTTACCCGCACTCCAGAGCATGCCCATTAATTGGCTCATTTTTGCTGGGGTTTACTTATTGTGACGGCAGAGAAAAGGAAAGCGACAGAAATATCATATTCAGATGCATGGTCATTGGTTACTTTTTCATGGGGTTTCATATTGTGACAACAGGGAACCTGTTTTTATGTTTGACTTAATAATGATACAAAAGAGAAAGAACATCAAAACACTCGGCAATCTGATGAATACTCGGGGGCTACGCCCCCTTGTATGAAACAGATAGCCTCGTGTTTCGATGCTCTTTCTATTACTAAGCAAACAAGTCACTAATCATTAATTAGTTAATAAAATAAGGTCATTAAATTAAGTCATGTGTATTATAAAGATGATATAGAGGGAATAATAGGCTTATAAACATATGTTTTATATGTATATCATAAGTGATGACTAACACAAGCTTATGTTACTGTTTATGGTATATTGATAGCTACAGCTACAGAACTACAGGGAAAATACATATTGGTAAATATGTGAATTCAAATGTTACAATTTATGAATATACAAGCTAATATTATAAGATGAAGCTTTACTACTCTCAGTGAACCAAGTCTTAAATGACTATATAACAATTTCTTTTGTTACAATTAGATTATCATCAGCTTGTGAAGTTTCTATGGAACTTTCATGATAGAAGTCCATAAAAATTAAGTCCTTGAATTCCTAATGCTTGATAGTAATAACTTTCTAAGACATGAGAATCAAACAAATCTTTTCAAAACTAGAACTATCACTAAATGTGATTAATACCCCCACAAGACTGCTTTGGAAATGAGGATGTTACTAGTAACATAATACCTTGTAAAAGAATTGAAATATAGAGTTATGGTTGTGGGCAATTAAAGATAGTTGTGGTTCTTGTATGTTGCATTTCCTTTCAATGTGGTTGGCCATTGATGAAGTTTTATTGACTTACTCTGTAATAAGTCCAGAAAGACAAAAAAAAGGAACAAAGGGCAATAACTCTATAAATACTGAAGATGGAGTTATAGTGCTTGTGCACTGCGCTTCCTCTTTTTGTGCTTGACCATTGTATGAAGTTGTTTTGAATTTCAACCAGTATGTTTTAAGTTATGCTCCAGACAAGGAAAAGTATCAAAGGGCAGTAACTCTGTATTTTGTCAAAATGGAGTTATGGCTCTTATGCACTGCACTTCCTTTTAATGTCCTTGACAACTGTATGAAGTTGTATTGAATTCCAAACAGTAGTTTTCAAGTTATGCTCTGGACAAGGAAAAGTAACAAAGGGCAATAACTCTGTAATTTGTCAAGATGAAGTTATTGTTCTTGTGCACTGCACTTCCTCTCATTGTGCTTGACCATTGTATGTAGTTATATTGAATTCCAACCATTAGTCTTCAAGTTATGCTCCGGACAAGGAAAATGCAACGGACGTCTGGACCGACCTACCGCCCGACCGACCAACCGACCGACCACCGGGTGACTCCTATATACCCCCCCAAACTTCGTTTTTGGGGGTATAATTAACAAAGCAGCTTAATTCAGTTCAAAACCATGCCAGAGTTATGGGTCTTGAATTTTGAATAAAAATCTAAGAAATATGTGAAATTTCAATAAAACACAATAAGTGATTCTTGAGAAATTAAGCCACATATTATTTCTTCATTAAATGTTACTAATGCTGACACAAATGCCAATGTTTAAGTGAGTAAGATATCTAACAAAAGAGGAACTAAAATTTATATACAACTGTCTTTAGGAAATAACATTCATGTTGCAAAGGCACACTGATTGTTATCTAAAGTAACATCAAATTAAATCTATATTCATGCACTGATATAAACAGAAATTTAACTAAATGTTAATGAGATGTAGGCTTTACATCTGTTTGTTTGTTTGTTTGTTTCATTTTACGCCTTTTTCCAACAGTATTTCAGTCATATAGGCGGGTAGTTTCCTAACCATCGTTCCTGGAGAATTACACCAGTACTAGACAACCTTCCTCCGCGCTAAACTACCAAAGCATCTCCCGGGGATCGAACCCACGCCAGAGAGGTAACTGGATTAGAAGTCATCGACTCTAACCCCTCGACCACGGAGGATTTACATCTAATGTCTGCATGGAGTATACTTCTATGTTTCCCTTAGCTGAAAAATTTATGCTTGAAAAGATTGATATATCACAACAATACAGACTGTGACATAATACAATTATATAATGAAAATTAGACTGTAAATTATATAATAGGTACCCGACTGTAGCTTTTATCAAAATTAAATTTTGTCATGTTGTGCTTCAAGTTTTGAATTTTTCACACAGGTTGTCAAAATAATAACATAATACAGAGTTAAATTTTAGCTGTTAAAGTCCTCAAGTGACATCTTTAGCCTAAAATTCCTAAAGTGGTAGTTTTTATCTCAAAGACCTTTTAATTGATAAAGTGAAAATATTTACCTCAAGTGCCAATTTCTACCTCTTAGACTTCAAGTGAGTAAAAGTTGGACAGACCACAAGGTCACAGTCATATCATTTATATATAATCTACTAAATACCTAAAGGGTTCTTCATTATTTATTCTAACACAGTTCACACTATTCCCCTATCAAACAAAAAGGACAATCAAGTGCATTAGACAATATATGCACAGAAAAAAAAACATATGCTTACAAATCATATGACGTCAGATATGGTGTCAATAAACCAAATGATATCAGGAAAATTAATTCTATGCTATAAACGTATTTTTATCAATTCTTTTTTTTATTAGCATATAAGAATGGAAATAGGCTTTAATTATTCTTGCATTATACTATAATAATGCACAATTTATCATTCAAATGATTAATTGTAATTTAACTCAGGCATTTTGTCCTTCATGATTATATTCCTGCACATTAGAACTTGAACCATGCATTATTCTACAATGCACTCAAACTTGTTTATTTCGGTATTTAAAAAATGAATCTAGAAAAATAAAAAATGAATGGCTAATAATGTAAGCTAGCTTCTGGTTATGTATATTTGAAGTAAAGGATAAAAGGGAAGGGGGGGGGGGGGGTAATGTTAATGCAATACGTGTTAATTTTTCAATACAAAAACTGAAGTTAGAATGATTTAAAAAAAAAATTAAAGTGAGTAATGTTGTAGAAGTAAGAGAAAGGAAAAAAATTAATTTTAAATCAATTTTAATTCTCATGTGTCTGCAAGTCCCAAACAATTACATGTACTATCACATCTATAAGCATAGGAGAAATTACCATAGATGGAATAAACTTGTATTTTTGATAACAATCTATTGTTGTTAAAAGTTATATAAACTCCACTTTCAATGTAACATTTCAAAAATTGAAGAAAGACAGCTCTGCTATGTGGTAAAGTATCATTAATTATATATTATATAATATGTATTTAATTCTATATTAGTATTCAAATTTTTGAATGACAACTTTGGCTGGTATTCTTTTAATTTCGGAAACATTATATTATCTTACTCAATAATTCACCTAATAATAACAAAGTAAAATAAATTTTGTTTGAATTTGAGCCTGCTATCATTGTTTTATTTGTGAGCATTTCAGCAATAATGATTAAGAAATATCTTTAACATTAAGAATTTAACTTAAAAGTTCAAGAATTGATCAAGAGATGGTCAGTAAAATGACATATTTTAATCAGGATTGAAAAAAGTTTATCTTGGTTTAAAGAATATATATAAGGTGTGCATCAAATCAAAGACAGACACTTTGTGATCTGCATGAGACTTAAGTATTATTATCTCACTTGAGCTAGGAAATCAATATAACACTGAAATCCATGTTATTTTTGAACACTTACACACACAGATACAAAATCTAGAAATCTAGGAATGATGTGATAGATATAAAAAAAATAAAATCTGTCTACAGAAATAGCTAGTGTATTTGACCTTACCTTGTGTAAGAAACTGCTATGTAGTTTTGGGAAACACATCCCCTACAACATACATAGAACAATTAATCTCACTTTTCCCTTCTACACAACTATCCTCTTATCTTATAAATAACTCATGTAGACTGTACAACAAATATTCATAATTGCGCCACGTCACGACAAAACCAACATAGTTGAATTGCGACCAGCATGGATCCAGACCAGCCTGCGCATCCGCGCAGTCTGATCAGGATCCATGCTGTTCGCTATCAGTTTCTCTACTTGTTAAAGGGTTTGTAAGCGAACAGCATAGATCCTGATCAGACTGCACGGATGCGCAGGCTGGTCTGGATCCATGCTGGTCGCAAACCCACTAAGTTGGTTTTGTCATGACGGGG